TTCTGTCGTCTAGTGAAACACATCACGTACCTAGTTTTGTAGCTGGGGAGCATTTTCAGGAAATGTGACTGCCACGGTGACTGTGTTACCTGCTCTTGTTGTCCAGCAACCCTTTTAATACAAGGAAGAGGAGAGCTTGTCCTAACACTACAGTCCCATGTTAGCCACCAGCAAATTTATGTCTCCTAGTCAAGCATGTGGCTGACTACCTACGAATATGGGAATATGAATTGCAAGTAATACAATATCTTTCCCCTGCTTTTTATTTCCATTTCACTGGCATCTTTTAACATTGGAAATCTGAAGGCCCCCCTCCCCTTCACCCCCAGGGCATGTTTTCTGCTGTCATTTGTATTGACAAGTAAGAAGCATCATGGGAAATCTTTGCCTTGGCCATATGACCCAGCAATTGTCCATCATTCATCACATTAAAAGTCTGATTGTGTAAGTAGCCATGAAGATGGAGCCAAGCTGACGCGAATAGTGTGTGACAGTGAGCATTGCTCGCCGTCCTGGCCCTCACCTGACATGCTCCTGATAAACTTGCTCCATGCATCTGTGTAAACAATGAACATTTGAGGTTTTTTTTTTTAATTCAATCCCTTTAGTTTAAAACACATTCAATGATACAAGTAAATTTGATTTTATAAAACAAAATATAAAATAGTGTGATATGACCTGTATCTTAGAAAACCAGCTATTTTGTTCACATACTTCTTCAGAATATTTTTACCTAAGTATAAAGCTAACAAATCTATTCATACAAATGACCTATTCCAGTTCCCTGAACCTAAAGAGACCCAAAATTGTATTTCCATCACAGGATTTGTGTTTTTTAAATATTTAAGAGTGTACCAAGCATCCCCCTGCCACAGTAATGTAAACCCACGAGACCTTTCTAGTGGGCACACGGCAGCTACAGCTTTAACACTCTGAGACACGAGCGCGCAGAAGCAGACCCGTTTGGGGTGCATCGCCAGCTCTCCATGAGAGCTGTGGCTCTGGGCACAGCTTGCTGACAGCTGCACCTCACTCAGAGCAGCCCCCTCTCCCTAAGCAGATCACCGGTGTCAGCAGCTCTGGGAACACTGCTCTGGCCCTGTGTGGGGAGGAGGCTGGTGAGAAGTTCCTTCTGCAGTCCCCAAGACGTGCACAATTCAGTTGTAGCTTTTGACAGTGGTTTTTGTTCGGATGTGGAAACAGATGGAAACTCGATAAGATAAATCTCTGCCTTTTTCTGAGCAGATGCTTCCAGCTTCCTTCTTGACTGAAACTTTCTCTCTGAAGCGCCGCCCTGAGTCGTCTTCCTCCCTCAGCTGTGCTGGCACGGGCCTGCCGCGGGGCTAGCATCTAAGTGTAGGAAAGGCCCCGGCACCGGGATTTTAACCACCCTGTGTTTAGGTGATTCGAGTTCCAGACCTTGAAAAATATACGTGAAGCTGGGTCTGCAGTCTCAGGAAGTGAGCTGGAGTTTAATAGAGAGCATTTGCTGGTCATAGGAATCAAAAATACACTTTAAACTGTGACTATTAATTGGTTTATTGGAGAATTTCCTGGCTTCTCAGTGTTTCTCTAGCTTAATAGAAATTTTCCTGTGGGAATGACAACCAGTCATTCATGGTACCAGCAATGAGAGTTTTATAAATGATAATTGTCTCCAGCCTGTGCCTGGGGCAGAAGGAGTAAAAACATATTGTGACCAACGTTTCTAAGTGGAACTGGTCAGGAAAGCTTTTATGGAGCTGATTTTTATTGGCATAGGTGGAAGCGGTTTTTAATACTTAAGAATCTTATATTTAAATACAATTTTTATATTATTCTTCCCCTCCACCACTTCCCTCAGTTCCTCCTATGTTCTTCCCTCTCCTCAAATTCATAGCTTCTTACTCATTAACCATAATTGTATGTATATATACACACATATGTGTGTGTATGTGTTTTATGTATATAAATTTATAAACACAACCTGCTCAGATCATTTGGTGATGCTGAGACCTGACCCCTTGGGATTGGTTAGCTTATCACAGTGCGTGTCATTAGAGAATTCTTGATTCTTTTTCTCTCAGCAACCGTAAATTGCTTATAGATCTTTTGGGGTGAAATTTTATAATTCCAGAATCCTTTTTAGGCTTGTTTAGGAAGCTGTGTTGTTGAGAGTTGCTGGGCAACTTTGCTGTCACCTGGAGAAGACACTCTCTTGCAGCGGACATCCCCTCCTCACCCCCTCCTCCACAGTGTCGCCGGAGCCTGCAGTGTAGGGTCACGTTGTGAATGTCCCTTGGGTCTGGGCACCCTCCAGGCAGCTGTTCTCTGCATCTGGAACAGTGTAGGGTCACGTTGTGAATGTCCCTTGGGTCTGGGCACCCTCCAGGCAGCTGTTCTCTGCATCTGGAACAGTTGTGTTGCTCTGGAGCAGAAAAGGCTTAGGTAAGAGCTAAAGCTGTGCTTGTCTGTGGGTGTGAGGTAAGAGGGCGCATTTAGAGTGCAGTTGGAGATTGTGCTGGTGTAGTGAAGTGGCAGCAGTAAGGTCTCTCCCAGGGTGCGTGGTCTCAGTTTACAGAACCAGGAATACATCTCCTCCTGTTGAGTGTGGAAAAAGCCTAACTAGACAGCTGTTGGTCACCGCGGGGTGTAAGTGCCAGTCTTGCCGCTGTTGCCCCTTCCAGGATCTCCTGCCTTTCTGCTCCTTATTGCTGTTGTCCAAATCTCTAGATATGAGAACTTGAAGGATACCCTGCTAAGCAAAATAATATAGGCATAGGAAGACAGATTCTGTGTGGTCTCATGCAAATGCACAGTAAAAACGTCAGTCTGGAAGAGGTAGAAGGCACAGCAGTGTTTCCCAGAGACCTGGAGAATGGGGGGTGAGGAGCATGGGAATATGGTAACTAATGACATGGAGTTTCAGGGTTGTTGACTGGTTTTACTCTTAGCGTTTGTGGCTCTTCGTTTTTGTTCTTTGGGAGTCCTGCCATGACACAGAGGCTCATTCTTATGAATGTCCGTCCTTAGCTTGGCTTGCTTCTGGCCAGCTTTTCTTAATTTAAATTATCCCATCTCTCTTTTGTTTCTGTGCTTTTACCTTTTTGTCGAAGATCAGCTTCAACAAAACTCATACGTCCTAGGGTAGGAGTGTGAGGATTAGAAACGTTAGGTAGGAGACCCAGAGATATGAAAGAAACTCAGAGACGCAGGATAGTAACAGGAAGGCAACTCAGTGGATACCGAATATTGAATTCTGAGTTCACCCATGTTTAATTTTCATACACTTTCATGCCCCAATACAAAAGAGGGGAGAAGGCAAAAGACTGTTCTAACGTGATACAAAAGACAACCGGAACAGGTACTTGCTCCAACACTTGAGACATCATCAAGCCTTTATTTTCTGAGTAAAGTATTTGATATGCAGTGAACACACGCTAGACCAAGTTTTCTGTGGGCAGCCACTCCCTATGTCAAACCTGTAGATGGAGACTGTAATTATTTCGGGTCTGGGCAGCCAGGAACGAGCAAGCAGCCTCCGTCTACACAGATCCAAATGAGCAGGTGATACGTGAGCACACCCTGCTGTAGTCTCTTCCCACCTCATAGGAGCCTGTGTTCCCCAGCGCGTTTCCCAAGTTTGTATGCATGTTTAGTTGGGCCTGCTGTGGTCCTGTGTGTACTAAACACGCACAGACACTTGCCCCTTGTTCTCTAAAACTAACTCAGTAGCTGTGTCCATCACCTTTGCACTGTGTTGGTTATTACATACAGCAGGCCATAGGAGCGTATGAGAGGATCTATCAGGTCATAAACAAGGAGATCACCATCTTATAAAAGGGCCTTGAGTATCTTCAGATTTCAGGACAAATCCCCTGAAACTAGTGTTCCCAGATATAACAGTGACCATGTGTAATGTTATGAAATCATTATTTATACATGTATACACATGTGTCGAAATACCACATTTTATCCAAAAAATTTATACAGTCGTTCTTAGGTTAATTCAATTTTAGTTTGAACTGACAACCAATGCTAGATCAAAACTTTTTATTCAAATATGTCACCCTTAAGAGATTACATGTCTCTTATGAGCCATTCAGCTCCTTATAGTAACTCTGTACGCGGGTAATGTAAACTCTCAGGTATCCACAGCACTGAAATACAAAGTTCTGGAGAACTGCTTCATGGCCCTCACAGCCAGCAACCACTGTGGTGAGCGATGTGCTGGCTCTGCTGACCTGCATTCCTTTTGGGGCTTTGGCAAGCAGGCTGCTTGGGATGCAACCCTTTCCCCAGCTGGTAAAACCCCCTTCCTAGATATTCAGTACCTGGCCTGCAGGACTTGAAGGATGCAGATGTGAGAGCCATGTCAGTTCCTGCCCTCATAATGAAGAGCAGGGGCTGCTTTAGCTTGCCAGGATACTGGGCCTTCCTGGCTACCCTGCCCAAGCCTCATTTTGTTGAGCTCAACCTGTACTGGCCCCTGTCCCTGAGACACGGAGAAACTTCTGGATATTCCTACCTTAAGAAAGAAAAACTTCAGAAAATTAAAGTCTACATCCCCACTGTCCATAATTCAGGGCTGTCATGTTGAGATATTTTAAGCTGACCAGAGGCTGAATCTGAGGCCATCTCCATAGCATGTGAAGCTAATGTCCCTGAGATTGGTATCTCCTAAGTCGTCTTCCTGGCCTCACATCAGGGCAGAAGGGTGTCCACTTCCAGCTCTCGTCTCCATCTCTGCTGCCTTTTTTCATGCTCCTCTCCACTGCACACGAAGCAATATGCAGCAGCCCTGAACTCTTCCAGCTTGCCGTTCTGTGACTTCCTTCCTCCTGGAGACATTAGTGACTTTGCCTTTCCATGGTCCAGCTTTGACTTCATTCCAGTGGTCAGTGGATCCGACCAGGAAAAATGGTTCCATTCACAGATGAAAATTCCAAAGAGAAAAGCACATTGGCTCCTTATAGGTCACTTTTTAGCCACCTTTTACAATCCATTCTTCCGTTGTGCAGCTGCCCTCCTTCCCACTTCTTGCAGTGGGGGCATCGACGTTTGGTGAGTTGGTGCAGCTTAATAATGATCATCCTGAAGTACTGTGGAGCTTTGCTGC